GTACGTCTACAAATGGTGTTCAGGGGATAAACCGGAAATGAGGTGTAGTGACTAATGCAGGGTGGCTGCATTATCTTAGACTTGTTGACGACTGAGTTGCCATTCTATCTTTTCCTCATTATTCTGCGTGCAGAAAATACCATCAAATTCTAGCAAACGTTGCAAGAACTAGACAAGAGACTGCAAAGTTGAATTCAAAGTAAGTAGATCAAGGACAAAGTTACCTGCAGTCTAACACACTGCATTATGACCAAAAACGCTTATGGAAAAAGAATCAAGTTACCATTATTTTGGCAATGACGTTGATGACCTGAAGGCGAAATCTGATGTTAAAAGAAAGCAGTTTTTGGACGAGCTTATCTCCATCAAAAATATATCCTACTCAAAAAATCACGCATACCAACGTGAACCTACATTTTTAACAAAACCTTGTCAAAGACAAAGCTGCATATCTGCGGAAAATAGTCGTTGGCGAAAGATCAGGAACTTCGTATCATCAGTTCCTAAAGAATCATGGAAAGATGTTTGTTCGGAATTTCGGACCTCCGTCATATCTTCACTTCAAATATCAGAGAGCAAACCGTAGTAAAAGATGCCACCATGGGAAACCCATGGGAGCAGCATGTAATGGAAGGGGCTGTTTTACTGACAACAACCGACGGACAGCTGTTATCATCGAGGGAACCAGGGAACCGCAAAATTTACGTGGATCCTCCACCAAAGAGAGAGGACAATCGTATCGCTTACAGAATCAACGAGCGTGGAGTCATGCACGATATAAGAACGGAGCATGTGTTATACCCTGCGCAATCTATGCTGTGGTCAATCCGACTTCCTCTTCGGATCAGTTTTAAAATATTCTAGCTAGAGTTGGATGACAACTCCGCCGTTGCCGGTCCCAAGTCCAAATACTACTGAAAGACGATTGGCAAGAGTGGCGAGGTCTCGGTCAAACTTAACCACCTGTCCCTCATGGTATTGATGGAGGCGTAGCAGCACCACAACAGCTGCCGAGTATCGAGTAAACGGAGACTTAAATACCAATTAGCAACGGAGCCGTTACCCGTTCTGAACGGAGGGGCAGATAGCGCGATGCCATTATAGCACATCAGAAAAAGCTCCACGAGAACGACACGACCAGTGGGAACTTTATCTTCATCTTATATCGCCGCTTCTCCTTTCGGGTCGCGGTGGCAGACATGTCAGAGAGAGAGCTTCCAACGTTCCCGATCTTGTGCCAGAGTCTGAGCTTCGGCAAAAGACAAATGCAGTCTGGAACA